GATGGATGGATGAAGGATGAATGGATGGATGGATGGATGGATGGATGGATGGATGGATGATGAATGGATGGATGAAGGATGAATGGATGGATGAAGGATGGATGGATGGATCATGGATGGCTGGGATTTAAAGGATTTAAATCTTAATAGATTCCACTTCTTTTGGCCCCTCGGGGCCCCCATAGTTAGACCCCCCACCCCAGGAACTCTGCTCTGCTCTATAAACAGTCCAGCTGCTGGTTCTGGTTCTGCTGGTTCTGGTTCTGGCGGTTCCAGAGCAGAACTCCAACCAGATCTGGTCCAGGTGGTTCCGGTGGATCCAGCCTCTACAGGCTGTTATGTAACGGAGCGGTTCAGTCATCCAGACAGGCGGGATCTCCTTCCAGAACCCGAATCTTCTGGTTCCGGTTCTTTCTCCCAGAGAAGCAAATGGACCCAAAACAGGAAAACTTTCACTTTTCTGACTTTAACGCAGCCGAGAAGCTGGAAATCTCCACCCGGTCCGAGCACTTAAACACACCATGCAGGCTCCAGCCGCCGACCTTCGGACCGAACTTAGAGCCGACCCGCAGAGCACCTTTCCCCGATATCAGAGCGACACGAACCCCCTCCCTCACCGAACCCAGATCCCTCCCTTACCGAACCCAGACCGCCTCCCTCACCGAACCCAGACCCCCTCCCTCACCGATCGGTGAAACTTCCAGTCCTCCGAACTCCAGCGGAGGATTCAGGAAAACTCCTCAAGGAGCTGGAAAAGTGGCGATTTTCCCAGAGTGGATATTCCTGAAAAGTTTTCCTGCGCCTCAAACGGATCCGGGACTCTCCAGGTTCTAGAGCGAAGGTCCAGTTCTGCTCCTTTAGACGGGTCCGGTTGGCCGCGCTTCTCCAGCTTTCCCTCTTTTCCCTGAATGCCACATTCTGGAGTCTCCCGAATTTACTGAAGCTGTCAAGGTCCCTTGAATGCAGCACCATCATCCGCATCAGACCTTCAAAATAAAAGCGCTCCTTCAGAAAAAGCCGAGGAGCTTCCATTCTGCTTTGAAGTGATCCAGTATTTCCTCCATCCGTGGATGTTCTGACCCACTTCCGGCCCAGAGGAGCTGGGCTAAACTAAATTAAAATCATTTCAGAACAAACATTTCAGAACAATCATTTCAGATAAACAAGAAAACCTGACATAATATCTCACTGAGTCACCAAGATCAGAACCTGAAGCACTTCCTGTCTGCGGTGGTCAAACACTGCTTCAAACAAACTGCGTCAGTATCATCAACACATTCTCACTCCCAACTCGTCACATATTGACATTGGGGCCTGAACATTCCCACAGTATCCGAACAGCCAAGCAGGAACCCGGAGAAGGACCCAGATCCGTCTGCTGAAGAAGCTGGAGGACAGACATCTGGCTGCCTGGACCATCCTCTACCAGAGCTGCTTCTCTGTAGCCCAGGTCAGGCGCCTCTGCTGCTGTTTCTGGTTCTAAAGTGGCCTGACCTGGGGAATGCGGCACCTGTAGCCCATTTCCTGCACATGCCTGTTCACGGTGCCTCTGGATGTTTCTACTCCAGACTCAGTCCACTGCTTTCGCAGGTCCCCCAAGGTCTGGAATCGAACCTTCTCCACAATCTTCCTCAGGGTCCGGTCACCTCTTCTGGTTTCTGCCACTTTTTCCTTCCCACTGAGGTGCCTTGATGCAGCAGCACTCTGGGAACAGCCTATTGCTTCAGAAATATCTCTCTGTGTCTGAGCCTCTTGCCTGAGGGGGTCAATGATGGCCTTCTGGGCAGCAGGCAGGTCGGCAGTCTGACCCATGATTGGGGTCTGAGTGATGAACCAGGCTGGGAGTTTTAAAGGCCTCAGGAATCCTCTGCAGGTGTTTAGAGTTAATTGGTTGATCCAGATTATTAGGTGCATAGCAGCTCGTTTAGAGACCTTTTCATGATATGCTCATTTTGTGAGATAGGAATGTTGGGTTTTCATGAGCTGGATGCCAAAATCATTCATATCAAGACAATAAAAGACCTGAAATATTTTAAATTAGTGTGCAATGAATCTAAAATATATGATGGTTCAAGTTTTATTTTTACATTATGGAAAGTAATGGACTTTATCACAATATTAAATAAATATGTATCTATATATCTAACCTTGTTCAATAACCCTGTATAATATTCCTAATTAGCTGTCCCATGTGGAACCACTGTGTGTACTGTATATATCCCATCATGCAACTTTTTCTTCCTTTGGCACTTTCTTCTTTTTTGACTATTTGAACTAATGTAACGAGTAAATTTCTCCACTACGAGATCGATTAAATTCAATCAACCAATCAGTGAACAGCTGAGAGCCTCCTGACCTTTGGGCCTAGCCAGCTGCTCTGCTGGAGCCGCCTCCTCCAAAGACGACCCAGTCCACTCAGAACTCTCTCCTGGACCTCTGCAGTTTTCTTCACCAATATGAGCTCAGACTGCGTATCTGAACTCTGTTGGATATTCTTTGCTTCATGACCAACAATAAAAAATCCTCTTCTTAGCCAGGCTTTTATTTTGAAAGCCTGTGTGTTTCCTGTCGTGTTTTGTTCTCTCAGCAGAGCTCTGATGAACCCTCAGCAACCTTCCCACCACCTCCCTTCAGAACAACTTTCCTCCCAGTTTTCAATGAGAAACTATGATACGTCAGTGAAGAACAAACACTTGGTTCAACTTTGGTCTCATTCCTGTGGAAAACGTTTAGGAAAGAGCGAGAAATGTTAAAGAAGTTATATATTCAGCTTTATTTTAACATCTCATCTGGTACATTTTTATGTCAAAACTGTAATTTCAGAACCAGAGAAAACAACTGATTCCTAAAATCCAAATTTAGGAATCAAACCACCGAAATAATAAAGAAAAACAGGAAGGATGTTTAGAACATCCTGAAACCATCAAGGAACCTGGAGGAGCATCAGAGAGAGGCGGTACCATGGTCTGGGTTTGGATCGTCTCCTCTGGGACGGTAGGAGGTGGTACCATGGTCTGGGTTTGGATCGTCTCCTCTGGGACGGTAGGAGGCGGTACCATGGTCTAGGTTTGGATCGTCTCCTGTGGGACAGTAGGAGGCGGTACCATGGTCTGGGTTTGGATTGTCTCCTCTGGGACGGTAGGAGGCGGTACCATGGTCTAGGTTTGGATCATCTCCTCTGGGACAGTAGGAGGCGGTACCATTGTCTGGGTTTTGGATCGTCTCCTCTGGGAAAGTAGAAGGTGGTACCATGGTCTAGGTTTGGATCGTCTCCTCTGGGACAGTAGGAGGCGGTACCATGGTCTGGGTTTGGATCGTCTCCTCTGGGATGGAAGGAAGCAGTACCATGGTCTGGGTTTTGATCATCTCTTCTGGGACGGTAGGAGGCGGTACCATGGTCTGGGTTTTGATCGTCTCCTCTGGGACGGTAGGAGGCGGTACCATGGTCTGGGTTTTGATCGTCTCCTCTGGGACAGTAGGAGGCGGTACCATGGTGTGGAGGACGGTGTATGCTGGACTGACCCATCACCAGCTGGGTTGTTGGAAACGACCCACCCTAAGGTGACATTAGGAGCAATAATGAACATATTGTTTTATTCTAAAATCCTCAGTTTGCTTCCTGTAATAAAACTGTTTTCAGTCGACTGTTGAAATCTTACATGATCCTCAGATTTTACTTCATGTTGATTTTCACACTCAGTACGGGTTTAATGAAGTGAGTAAAGAGAAGAAAAACTAAATCCCTCATCCTCACCTCTTTGGTCAACTTCCTCCTCCTCAATCTCTCTGGAACAACCAGAGCACCTTCCGGTTGTGAAGCTCCTCCCACAGGCTGCTCTCCATCTGCAGGTCATGGTTGGCAAAGAACCTCAGAGGCCTCGGCACCAAGTCGTAGTAATGATCAGAGAAATCGGCGTAGTTCCTGGTGATGAAGCCATAAGCAGAAACCTGCAGACAGAAACTGGTTCAGATGTTTGGTCCGTCTAAAGGTCCCATCCCTAAAATCTGGATCAGGTTCTTCTTCCAGTTGGATGCTGTTAGATGAGCAAACTAACAAGGTTTGACCTTTTTTAGTTTGTTTCATGTAACGATCAGGAAACTATCCCAGCATGTCGCTGATATATGGACTAAACCACAGAGGACCAACAGTGAACTGTGAGGGACACCAGAACATATCGTCCAAATAAAGCTGAGCTTTCAGAGGTTAAAAAGCTGCTCCTGTCAGGGTTTGGTTGAGGTTTTGAGGAACCAAATGCAGAGGCGAGGAGGCAGAGGTGAGTTGTTGTAGTTTTATTGGAGTTCTAGAGGCAACCGATGCAGGAATCCAAGAATCCAACATAAAAACGCAAAACAAGTCAGAACCATGGAGACATCAGGGAAAACATGCATGAGGGGCTGGAGGAAAAACCAGGAACCAGCACTGAGGAACTGACCAGGGAGAGTTTATATGGGAGACTGAACAGAGACTGGACTAATGAGCTGATTGGGAGCAGGTGTGATCAGAGGATTCTAGAAGGAGCTAGGAGAAAAGGAGACCAACACAGGAGGCCAACAGAGGCTGAGCAAGAAAAACCTAAGAACTCAAATATATCCAGAAAACACAAATAAAGCAAGAAAACAAAGAAAAAACTGGATCAACATGAAACTGAACCAAAACTGTGACAGATCCTTTAAAATCGGAATATGAATCTGCTTCAAAGATCTCCACTGCTTCTGAAATGTTCCAGATTTGATTTAATCAAACATTAAAGTTTATAAACAGAATAAATGGGGATCTAATAAATCCCTAAAAACAGAGGATCTCCAGGCTGTGGAGCTGTGGTGTGATGAAAGGAGGAAGGTCTTCAGGTATCTTCTCACCTACAGCGCCTCCCTCAGCAGAGCTAACCCGGGTTCAGATTTTGTGAAGCAGCGTCTGCTGCTGCATTTCTAAGGTATATAATAAATCTCTGTATTTATGGAAAGGATAGATTCATTATTGAAGGTAAAGGTTGATGGTAAACCGTTGGACTCGGCGTTACCTGGTCACAGGTGTGTAAGGCCGTCAGCAGCATCAGACCCCCGGTACTCGGCATGTACAAGTCCCGAGTCTGGACGTTGGTCATCAGAGGAGACATCAGGAAACTGGAAAACAAAGAGAGATCAGGTTTCCTTCTACAGGTCTGACTTTCAGCTCCTCCCACATCCAACCGTTTCTGCTCACCTGTGGGTCACGTAGGAGATAAACTGGGGGTGGAGCATCTTGAAGTTTCCAGGTGGTTTGTGGCCAAAGTACTCCCATGGTCTGTGGAGTCGATAAATGAAAGGTTTGGATAAAGAGCAGCGTCTCTTTTTAAGGAGCAGATTCAGAGGTTAGTTCTGGTCGTTCTCTCTCCTCTGTCTGATAAATCAGGATAAATGGATCATTTTGATTCAGAGACCAAGTTTGACCAAAAAGACGTGAACAAAATCTAGAATAAGAATTTATCACTTAGTAAAGTAAAGGTCTCCTGTCTTTGGTTCTACGACTGTTTTTCTCTTTTCTGGGAGGAATGACACCTACATACTGCAAAAATATTATTTAATGTATTTTAGTAAATCCAAAAATAAATAAATATGTGTAGAAGATAATTAATAATTAAACCCATGAATTATTCAGGTATCTGTTGAATAATCTCAGCCAATAAACATTTTCTCAGCTTCTGTAGAAAAAGCTGAGATAGTTTGAGGCTATGCTGCCATCTGGTGGTGGAAAAGGGAACAGTAAGTAACTGCATAAACAGCTTCAGCTTCTCTTCCACAAACAGCAGCAGAACAATCATAGTCAGAATAGTTGCTTTTTGTACTTTAAGCTGCTTTTACTTCGTTTTTAACACTTTTGCTCAGAACACTGGAAAGGAAAGGAAACACCTTCAGAAATACAGACATGGGAGGAAGAAGAGTCAGTGAGGATGAGGAAGATTAAAGGCCATGGTGTCCCTTATTATCATTTCTGAAAGGTGGCAACACTAATCAGGATACAAATTGATAAAGTATTTGCTGAAATCCTGCTTTTGTGCTTAAACTGTCAGTTTGGTTACCGCGTCTGGATCTTAGCAGCAGTGGTTGGCTTAAAAACTAACAATAAATTAAAGGACTTTGTTATAGTAAAAAACATATTTTCATTATAATATTAATAGAAATCCTGAAATTATCAAGCCTGCCTTGTTAATCCAGTCTAATATAATAATTGATCATTAGTTTATATCAGTGGGTCACATGACCTAAAAGCTGTTGGAAACAAACTCTGAGGAGAAAACCATTAAAAACTAAAAAATGCATCTAAAAATGCTTCCGGCTGACTACCTGCTGGATCTTTGTGTCCCGACCAGATTTGCCTCCTGACCACCGAGCCTGCCCTCCCTGGTCCAGCCGGTCTGCTGCTCTGTGATTGGAACCTGGAACTGTGACCGACTCAGTCCAGGATCGTCCTTCGGCCCCTCACCTGCTCTCTGACCATCGACCCCGTCACTGACCTCATCTTTGGCTTCGCTCTAAGGCTCATCCTGCTGATGTTTGACCTCCTGCCCGTCCTCCTGATACCCCTGAATCTGGGACTCTCTGAGCCAACCGCCACCCGGGTTTGCAGGCCACCAGATGGGATCTACCTCTAAACCTGGACTAGAACTGGGTATTAGGACCAGGTTAGTGACCTACATGTTTGTGAGCAAAGACTTCCAGCTAAATGAGGTCACTAACCTGTTGTCCCCTGCTGTACAGGTTCCCGCTGTAGACGCTGACCCCACCTGCTCAGTTTCTGCTCTTAATAAACTGTAAAACCTAAACTGTTTGTCTTCCTGGAATACTGGGTCCACATGAGCCAATCATCAGAGGACTTTACCACAAAGCTTTACACTCATTCATTCACTGATGGTGGCAAAGCAGCCACAGTGGCACCACCTCTGATCACCATCAGTAGGCGCTGCAGGGGAAGTATCTTGCACAAAGACACAGCACTGAAAGCCAGAGCCAGGGCTTGAACCGACAACCCTCCAGTTGGAGGATAAACGCCTGGCGCTGCAGGAACAGAACAACAGAACCTCTGATCACACCGGTACCTCCTCCACAGAACCTCCCTCTCCTCCAACATGTCCTCTGTCAGTGGGAGAGAGATCGGACCGCTCCGTCTCAGAACCAGCATCTCTGGGTTTGCTCTGCTGTCAATCACAGCTGGGTCCGCCCAGCCCTCCCCTCCCAGCGCGTTCCATGGTCCTCTGGGCAGCGCCTTCATGAGAGCCATTTCTAATATATTTTATGAGGAAGTACGGGTCTGTACCTAAACGATCAGAAGGACCAACTGAAGACCTCAGTGTTCAGTCATCCACACGGCTGAACCTTCATCCTCCGATTCCAGATCTCAGACCTTCTCCCTGCTCTGCAGCTTCACATCCAGCAGAGGGAGCCAGAGCCCAGGAGCTGAAAGGTTCTGTCTGCTCCAGGAAACATGGCCACCCTGTGACTCAGGTGTGTGTTCAGAGAAGCTCACCTGTCTCCTTGGTCTCTCCCTGAGGCGACGCTTCGACCCCGAACAGCAGCCGCCATCATCACGTAATCTCGGATGTCTGATGGGATGAAGATGTATCTGATCTCCTAGAAAGTCATGGAGAGATCATCTGGATGGTGGAGGAAGATCAGCCTCTGAACAGGTCTGGATCTCTGAGTGTTCCTAACCGGGCTCTGAGGAATTCTGGTGAAACCGTCTGAGCGGTACCAGATCAGGGCGTTCTTCATGGTGTTGGTGGTGAAACCATAGAATGAAGTCTTTGTCCCCACATCGTCTTCAAACCCTCTGATCACCGCTCCGTTCATCCTGGTAACAGAGACAGTAAAGGGTCCAGAAGACGGATCCTGGACCTGGAAGTTCTGCAGAACATTCTGCTAAATGTGTCCCAGTTTACATCTGATGGACCTGCTGGTCTGAAGGACGTTCAGGAAAACAAACCAGGAAGTCTCTACTCTACTCTA